CAGGGTGAAAGAAACTCTGCCCATTTGTTTCCGCCTCCACCGGGGATCGAACCCGCAACCTCAGGACTACGAATCCGGAACACTGTCCACTCAGCTGTTAGGCCCCAAGACCAAGACAGGCTAACTCCTTCCACCAAGACAATACGTACTGGGCATAATAAGAATTAAATTAACAATTGAACAAATCCATGGGGGGAGTTGTGTAAAACCCTGGTTTGTGTCTCGGAGAGGCTGCAGGATCCAGTAAGTTTAGTAGAACTTCGGTTTCAACTCTTTCGACCATGTCATAGCTCAGTCGATTAAGGCAGCGTCTGGGATGCTCTCGGACGCAGGTTCGAATCCTCGTCACGGCCCTTGTGAATTTGTTCACTTGATTCGTCACACTATTGTGATGTGTGTAAACTAACAATTGTTTCTAATCTACAGTTTTCTTGTAATAATGCATAATTTATTGTCTTCAGTTTATACAGTTACTTTGTATTTATCCACTATAAAAAACACTACGTCGACATGTGAGAGTTCTTGCGCTGGCCACGTCATCGCTTTAGGGAGAGTCGACCCGGGATTCCCGGTCGACTCACGACAGGAACGTTTTCAGCATATGGCCCCGGGCTCGTGGCCAATGTGTCCTCTTGAGTTCTGCGAATAATAATTATTCACGTCGTCGAGGAATACTTTAGACTATATCGAGATCCTCCCCCCCCCCCCCCCGAGGGTCGAATTACTGACCTGACCCAGTATGGAACGATCCACAAATACAGTTGCCTGCATGTGTATCTGTTCACTACTTGGTGACAGGCAGCGTTGCCAACCATTTCTGTCCTGCCTATGGCCAAACATGCTTGAGTAACATTGTATCAACGTTGATTACATCATCAATGTTACATCACTGGTGTTTGGCCAGCGTCACAAGGATGACAAGGAGCCGTCACTGAGCAGAAAGCACTTTGCGAATAAAAGAGTTATGTTTAGAATCGAAAACTATTTTTGTGCGTCGGGTGAAAACAAACACCATAGGTGATATAACTTTATTAATTTAAATTATTAATAAAATATTTGCAACTACAAGTTGCACGAAACGTTTTGCAACAAACTGGTGGAATTTATTGCAGCTTCGCGGTTGTTAGAAAGTTGCAACCTGTAGTGTGCATGTGTACGGATACATGTTAAGCGGCCTTTATAACTACTGTATACCTTCTATACCCATTCTACGTAAGTAGGGGCACATGCACCCGACCATACTAGAACGTAACTAAAGTATACAAGGTTAGAGAATTTATCGGAGAATTATAAATGGTGCACTTAACAATAATAATGAAGGATGCAAATAGCCTATGCACAAGTAACCCTAAATAATTAACAATTACTTATAATTACCCAGTTATATGTATCTAAGATTGAGCCTCGTGCCCCGTGCTCAGTTTTAAACCTTTGCCCCCAAAACTCGCGATGCGCCCTTCACAGCCATGTACGAACAGCTAAGCGAATATGTACTGATAAGCCACGGCAGAGACAAATAAAAGGTCTCTCGTCTCAAGGAAAGACAAATGATCTCAGTGTTTTAGGTGGAAGATGGTTTGTTCAAATTTATAATGACAAGAATGCGAAAAAAACAGGGTGGGCATCACGGCAGTTGCAGTGGACACGAGGACATTCCGCCCAAAATGGTCTGACGCACCACACAAAAGGGGCAAAAACACACTTCATTGCATTTTTGAAGCTCAATTTTCAGCACCTATTGCAGAGGTGTGTTGAATGAACGTATTCCTGAACGGAGCATCTGACACCAACAAGAATTACCAAAGACGGAAGGGTCCTACTATCAAAAGTAAGTAAGTAATTATCAAAAGAAGGCACCAAACTGGGAAGGTTATGTAGCACCATCAAATGCGCAAAATAATCAGAGGGCGCTAAATATCACCAAGGATGCCAATACGAAAACAAAAACGCATAAGGCGAACGATATCAAAAGTATCCGAGTCACCAAGAATTCTATTGAGGGACAGGTGACCGCGAGGGGCGGTCAGAAAGCAAGACACACGCTCGTCCTGGAAGTCAGGACATTCAAGGACATGCACGACCGTAAGAGGGACAATGCAACTAGGACAATAAGGAGCAGGGCGGCGCTCCATCCCCTACTATCAAAAGATACCTTGCCCACTTTAAGGGGATGACGACAATGACCGCCAGGGGCCGAGAGAATGTGTCAACCTACAGGACAGAATAACCCTGGGCCTCAGGGATGTACTTAATATCCTCATGGCATAACTTCTCTGTCCCATCTCAATATGAGGTGGAAAGAGGATTGTACCGATGCCAGCATTCAATGAACATTTTTAGAGCCCCGAACTAGGGCTTCACTAATGTAAGAAAGGGCAGCAAGACGAATGGTCGTCTTCTAAGAGGGGGGCTCGACGATGTGGGTGCCAGTCCCGGTGGGATTAAACTGAACTCTAGCATCCACAGAGTTCATAAGGTGGCTGTGCAAATCGTTAGGGAAGGTATGGTCATCATTGGAGAAGTCAAAATACCACTGGAGACTCAAGAGGTGGACCTTGCCAAGGAAGAGGCTGGGGAAAGAGAGGGGGGATCAGAAGAGGTAGTCGAAGAGAAAGCTTGGTCTGGGCCTACCACAGATATGGAGCTCTATCTTCCATCACAGTCCAACTTAGGGGGTTTGGTCACCCACCCCATTAGCATGAGGCCTGTTCTGGGAAGACATACAAGCAAACATACATTCGACTTGGCAACCCCCACACGTCCAACCACCATGGAGCCCCATCAAGGGAAAGGGATATACAGTATCCGGAGAAAGTGCTAAGCCATTACGACTGTATATTGCACTTTGAAAGGATCAGGATAACAAAAAATTATTTATTTATATACTTGTATATACAAGACTTCTTACATTCTTGTAAAGCCACTAGCACACAGCGTTTCGGGCAGGTCCTTAATCCTAATTTTTTCCCGAAATACGACCTGCCAATCGTTTAACCAGGTACCCACCCATTCGCTGCTGGGTGAAAAAGAGGCTACATGTAAGGATTGGTGCTCAGTCAATTCTTTCCAACCAGGATACGAACCCAGGCCAAAGCGATGGGCGAGTTCTTTACCACTGTGCCACGGGGACTGAGAAATAAGATTGGATAAAGATTTGGGATGGGACAGTGCTGGATCCAGTGTTGCACTGTGTCAGATGGACCCAGGATTGTTGGCATTTGTTTACATATGATGTAGGGACCTTTCACCTATGTATTTTAGTGTGATAGGCCCCGAATGTGTTGGATTGTATGTTGGATCCGTGTTATTTTAATCAATTTGTTGTAAATTTCAATCCAAAGTCAAAGGAACTGGCAAATGCACTATGCATACCACAAACTCCTTTTCAGAAAATCCCTGGAATAGTGCCCTCTGGATTGAAAATATGCAAATGTTACCCCCCATTTTCAAAAACAAGGCAGGAAAAAGCTAGGCAGAAAACTACCGTCTGACCAGCTTGACATCACACATCTGCAGGCTCATGGAGAGAATCCTAAGGGAGGGAATCATACAACATCTCAATGAGAACAATCTTGTAAAATAAACGCAACATTGGTTTGTTAAAAATAGATCCTCTCTCACTAACCTGCTCACATTTTTGGAAACGGTAACCAGCTACTCTGACAAAGGACTTCTGATAGATGTAGCTTTCATGGACTACTAAAGCTTTTAACAAGGTACCACATGAGACACTGGCAAGGAAATTACAGCCACATTGAATAAATGGGAGAATACTGGAATGGATAAAACAATGGTTAAACAATGGTTGGGGGAAGGGGTAACAAAATAGAGGCCTGGTCGAGGACCGGGCCGCAGGGACACTAAGCCCCGAAATCATCTCAAGATACGTAGTCACAACCTTCAGTTCCATGTAATAAGATATAGGTACCGACTCTTAACACATGATATAATTATATGCATTTAGGTTCAGTGATTTGTCCCTTAAGGAATCGGACTTTACCACTAGTTTGCTGTATGTGAATCTTATCTCCTGCACATGTGGGGTCAATGATGTATCATAAGGTTAAGTTGGTAAAGTATTTCTGTTGTACTTTGGGGTTTTAGGGTTAATAAATTATATCAAGGTAAAACTTAATCTGGAGTATCCATTACCCATCTGTTTCAGGGTTAGGCATTCTGCTCAAGACAACAGACTATAAAGTACTTGCATCATTATTTATTTGGGAACCGTTTTCCTGGAAGCCACGCCTATCCTAACCCTATTAAATAGTACTCTTCACCCAGTTATTATCCTAACTCAGCCCCCACATGTAACAGACAGGAAGGAAGGAATGGTGCCCAACCACTTTGACAGTCGGGGATTGAATGCCGACCTGCATAAAGCGAGATCATCACTACCATTCAGCCAAAGTAACTGGGCACAATTCCTTCCTCATCCCAAATCCTTATCCCTTTCAAGTGCTATACAATATAGTCATAAAGTGGAACTATAAGCACATGGGCAACATCAGGGGCAACAAGGACAACATATAATACATGCCAGTCATTACTGAAGGGTTGGGAGAGTATCTTAGGACGAATGGGAATACCAACTCGGCTTGCCCACTCGATCCATTTCTAACTAGGCAAGCTAGCCAGACAAGCCAATTCATTCAGGTGGGCCACACTGAACCTGTTATAACCCCATCCCCAACCAAAGAAGCACATACACCCCACCCCCAGGTGCCACAGCCACTGGGTAGGCTCAACAATCATATGAAGAAATATAAGGGAATACATGTGTCTATATGCATGGCAAAAACACAGGAGGGCATTTCACTTGTGCACAGCCACAGCAGGCAGGTCAGGGAAGGAGGAGCTACCCCAACTACCAACAGGCCGTACACAAGAGCCTCCTCACCACATCAAGGACCCATTCACTGAGGGGATAAGAATGAAGGTAAATAAGTAATTATCAAAAGAAGGCACCAAACTGGGAAGAAGGTAAATAAGATGCAATGTGAAATCTGCCTTTATTCCCAATCCCCATTATTACTAGGACAAGGTAATACTTTCAATAAAATAAAATGAATGATAAATATTAAAACCAAAGGGATGCGACTTTTTAATTGCAATGGCACTATTTTTAATTCCTTTTAAATATTTCTATATAAAGTACTGTATGCCTAAGCCAATTATTTGTAAACCTAATTGGCAGGAAAAAAAGTATTGAAATCAAATAGGATACCTTCGGGATTTGGTAGCATGGAATGATACTTTACAATAGCTTTTACAATTTAAAGGAGGCTTTAAGGCCAAATTTGAATTTAAAGTTTGATTTCTGGATTTCCCTCCATATGGAAGCTTACTGTAACTTGAGCTTTGAATCTTCAATAATCCTAAGAGTCTGATTATTGGGGCCATAAAATTGCCCAAGTAATATATTTAATATCATAAATCCATTCCAAGAGTTAAACAAAAATACAATAATCTGTTGCATTATGAATACCTAAACTATAAATTTAAATCCTAAATGCATTTTGGACTTTTTCCATATCAAATAACAGAAAACAAAGATCTGGATTACACTAGGGATTTATATATAATTTTGCTCCAATTCACAATGAGCAAAATGAGTACAAGTTAAATGGATTCGTATTAAATTTCAATGCACTTTATGAATCTAAAATAATAACTTTTACCAACTAAAATCGAAAATGCTTGATGTTCAGATATTTTAGAAACATTTTAGCATTGTAAAAGAAGTTAATCATGTTGTTGACAAAACTTGAAATGGCAGTAAAGTATATTTGTTACCCATTAGAGCTTTAAAATAGCCGAATAAAGATTTCAGTAATAGTATCACTGCTTTTGTTATTTGAGCGAGGGAATAGTCTTCACAGATATAACCAGCAGTTATTTTATACATTTCTCAGCTCACATTTATTAGAATGCATTTAATCTCCTTTTCACATGAACATCAAATAGTTTGACACGATCACATTCTGTACAAATAATACAATTCCTTAAAATGCAAAAACACTGCATAGTATATATATGTATATATATCTCAGATTATAAGCTCAGATTAAGTAAAAAGAAAAATCAATAGTAATGCACGATAAATAATTTATACAGTAGCAAGATATATGCACAGTGTATCACATTATAAATAAAGCCTTTTTTTAATGTGAAAAAAAAATAATTTACACAATATGATTAACAAAACAAAAATGTCTCTCTCACTGGGCGACCAATAAGCTCACCAAACGGTATTTCTTTACCTAAATACACTGATGTGAAAGAGGCTAGAAGGGGTATGTTATAATGCACCATCGCCCACGTCTGTGTTCCTTTACATGTATCGGTCCTGGGAAAGAGAGAATATGGTAAAAAAAAAAAAAAAACTATATTGTATCGGTATATAAACTGTGAATATTATGTCAATACAATAGTTGTCATATATTTTTGTAGTCTGTATCGGAAGACGCAAAAAGTTGTGTACAGTAAAGTGTGTTTACGGCATAAAAAAATTAAAACAAAGGTGTTATCAGAATAAAAATTAACATTTTAATAACACCTACCTTACTTTGTAATGTCCTCAAACTACAATACACAGTTGCAATATTCATATACTGTACATTACAAGCCAGTTTCAAGCCACTTGCTGGCACTGACCACACATGAATATTAAAACATTTAAAAGGTATCCTGTACTTAAAACTCATATTCCATACAAGTTACAAGGTTACCCCATCTACTCCCAGGTCATGCCTTAAACTCTAATATAGACTTTATAAAAAAATTGGGACCAGCGAAAGATGGCACACATTTTAATTAATCTGGAGAGAAAAAAACAATTTGAAAAAACCTACTCCATACATAAACTGAAGCATCCATGAAATTAGCTGTACAGTAACATGCAAATGTCAATTAAAATGTCAGAGGGAAAGGCATTTCAAAACAGCGGAGGAAAATTTTTTTTTAGAGTATTTATTAGGTTTCATTTTAGGATTCAGAGCGTTAACAAACTTGACAGTCAGGACTTAATTGCATGCCTGTATTTACTGTGCACACAAATCAAAGATAAACAAATATTCAAAGCTAAAGCTGATGAATTAATGAGGCAGCCATAATCCAGTTTAGACAATACCAGGAATACAGGCATACCTCAGAATAAGAGTTTAATCCGTTCCTGGAGACGCCTCGCATTCCGAAGTTAATTTCCCCATAAGAAATAAAGGGAAATGAATTAATCCGTTCCTGACTACCCCAAAAACCCTACATCAAACTAAATTTTTATACCTAATTTACCTAATTCATCTAAATAAACCTACAAAACTGTGTTCCAGTTATTACTTACCTTGCTGTCGAGTGCTGTAGGCGTATGGAAGATGGTGAGGAGGGGGGAGGAGGAGAGGAGTTACTGTTTGGAAGGGGAGTCCCCTTCCATAATCACATCACATAACCCCATGCCTTGTAACACTATGGATACCACTTCTCTTTCTAAATTTTTCAAACCAGCCCCTGCTTGCCTTAAACTCTTTCTTATCTGCATCACTCGTTGCAGGGGTATTCTTTAGAAGGTCTTCGTGCAACACCCTGGCTTTCTCACAAATAATGGCCTCCGAAACACTATCACCCCTCAACTCCTTGTCGTGTATCCAAATTAATAACAACTTTTCCACTTCTTCAAGTATTTGTGGTCTTTGTGCCGTTAATGTTCTTACTCCTTTTGCCACTTTAGCACCCATAATCTTATTTTTCTTCTTAAGTATAGTGCATATTGTTGATGTGGCTTTGTTGTACTGCCTACAAAGTTCAACAACACGTGTACCGTTCTCATGCTTCCGAATGATCTCTTGTTTCTCCTCTATTGTCATCCTCACATGAGCTTTCTGGCCTTTATCCTTACCACTGGCTTTCTTGGGACCCATGGTGAGATATATAATAACAAATTGTATAGACAAATCACCAAAAATCCAACAAAACACTGAAAATCCGCGAGAAGAATTGATGTGGGGGTAGTCACTGAGCGCGAGACAATAATAAACTGAGGGGCGGAGGGGCGACGATCGCCGAACCACCACGTGCTAGGTCGGCTGTACGCGTATCAACAAACTCGCGTCCAAACTCGCCTCCCGAAGTAACCATCGCCTTCCGAGACAAATTTTTGGAGTAAATACACCTCGCCTTCCGAAAACCTCGCATACAGGGACAATCGCATTCCGAGGTACCACTGTAATGTCATTTGATAAGTGTACTGTATGCTTATTGGTATGCCAGGAGGTAAAGTATGAGGCAATATTTTCAGTGAAGTCTTTACTATTTGGTACGAGTGTGGAGGTAATATTCGAGACATCCATGATATATACGTGGTCAGATTTTCACGAATTTGTATTTGTCTGTATATACAAATTGACCACCTATAGGGTTAGGAGAGAAGGGAAGGGAACTATCAGGAGGAAAGCGCCAAGCCATTACGACTATATAGCACTTGGAAGGGTCAGGATAAGGTTTTGGGATGGGACGGGGGAAAGGAATGGTGCCCAACTACTTTGACGGTTGGGGATTGAACGCCGACCTGCATGAAGCGAGACCGTCGCTCTACCGTCCAGCCCAAGTGGTTGGTTGCAGAGAGATGGAGAAGAAAGTCATAGCACATGTTTAGAAGCTGAGGATTCAAAAACCATGGTGGGTTGCACAAGACGATACAATTAATTGCAACCAGGAGCCTCTGTTGCACCAAGGGGAAATTTGTCACCATTATAGCAAATTGTGAAATCAACAACAGAGCGCAAAGTAAACTCAAGCTGGAAATGAAGATATAACATTACGAGCAATTAAGAAAAAGAGCATCTTAAAACAACTCAGTGGGATATTCTAATATTGCTAATAAGAGCAGAATAAAGTGATCCTGATTTGTATATTTCCACAATGTTACGCACTTTTGAGGTTGAAGAGCACTGGCACCACTAAATTACTGTATAACCGAAAAAGTTTGAACATAAACCTCCAAGTACACCAGGATACCAGTAGTATTGTAATACGACATTTACAGAAGCTAAATTGTGACAAGTATTTACTGCATCTGTAAATTTACACAAGACTTGCTTTAATCATAATTTTCAAAAAGCCTGCATACACAACTAGTGAAAGCAATGGGTTCAAAATCACCAGTTAAAGTACCCTTCATTCCAGGTTTCTTAACAAGGAGGCTGATTGCCTTTCCCCATGCACCAGCCAAGTAGCTACACCTTGCCCAAAATACTATTAAAATCAACAATAAATACGGAAGCCTGAGATGTTGGAGAAGGTCGATCATATCGGGTCACAACGGGGAAATTGTCTCCTAGAGAGCAACAATGAGGCAAAGCAGATTATAGTTCACAAAAGTGAAAGGAATTGTTACATACTGAACATAATTTAATGTGAATAAATACCATATTTGCCAGGTGTTGCTCTGTACACTTATTTTGTCAAGGTCTTCTTGAAGGGCATAACATGTCATTTAAGTTTCTTATCTTCCCTAGTATCTTAGCATCATCAACACACGTTCATGTATTTTTATTTTTTTATTGATACTGTACAGTATATACAAGAGTTGTTACATTCTTGTACAGCCACTAGTATGCGTAGCATTTCGGGCAAGTCCTTAATCCTATGTTCCCTGGAATACGACCCCTACGAAGAATCATTTAATAACCAGGTACCCATTTTACTGTGGAGTTAAACGGAGGCTACAGTTAAGGACTTGCGCCCAGTAAATCCTCCCCGGCCAGGATACGAACCCAGGACAAAGCGCTCGCGGAACGCCAGGCGAGCGTCTTAACCACTACACCACGATGGCTGGAAATTCTGTATTCATTCTGGTAGGCTATTTATGTAGACAATGAACATTACTGGTGCTAGAATTGAACCCTGTGATATTCCAAACGTGACATTTCTTCAGTCCGATACATTGCCTCTGATTACTGCCCTTATTTCTGGGTCAAACTTTTTCTTCTATGTTAGAAGCCTCCCTGTCACTCCTCCAGTATGTTCTAGTTTCCACAACAACTTATGTGGGACTTGTCAACCCAACCATCTCTTCTGTAAAATATCTCTGGCTCTATCAACAAAACTAAATATATTTGTTATACAGAGGCAGGTAGGTGCTGGATAAGCATGTAAAGCATAAAAGGCAGAAATAAAGCTGTGCATTCAAATAAATTTAAATTGTACAAAATAAGTAAAAACTTGCAAATACAGTATGTATAATCTACGCAGTTCCTAGTACATTATGTGCAAAATCAATTTTGAATACAATACATGGGTAACTAACTAAAGCTCCTGATTATCTGAACTAGTTAGGACTTCTCACAGCAATTAATTGGAGATTCAGATAATTGAGGCTTGGATAATTGGGAGTCGCTGTTGTACATTGATAGACAAAAAGTACTGTATAGTTCTAGAAATAATTTGTCTGGCATTGTGTATTATGAGCAATATTCTACTGTGTAAATTTCATATGTATTGTCATTTATCTATAGAGCAATGCGGTTAAAATGAGCCATGCATTAAAGAGCAATGTTAGCATGCACATGCAAAACTATACTTACTAGTCTAAGTCTTTCATCATTTTCTCTGGAGAGCAAAAATAAAAATGCACATGGTTAATATCCATGCAAATCAAGGACAAAAATTATATATCATATACACTATATGCATAAAAGAGGCATTCAAAAACTGTCAATTTGCCACTACAAAGCTACTACCTAAAAAAAAAAATATGCTCATTAGGTATGCAAATTCTCAACAGAGGTAGATAAAAAAAATTAAATAAATACAAGATTAGTAACAAATGTTAAGTTACACACACAAAAATATTGAACTGATAGAGGATATTTTTATAACCAATTAGTCACAGTTATACAGTACATGAATGTGAACTACGAAAGATTCCCTCCATAAACCACAATCCAGAGAAATGCATCAAGAGACTTCACTGAAAGAATGATTTCCTAAATGCTATCGACAATCTAAAAAATTCATCTATACCAATACATACTTCTCTAATGCACTACCTGTACAATACCTTTATTTGCCCATTTGACTTCTGCAGTTAATCCAATATTTTCACGCCAAATCAACAAATCTACTTTGAGAATTATAATAAAAACAAAGAATGTTCAGTATATTATATGTAAAATATATTTTGGCAGAGCCTCAATAACTCAAGGTTTAACTTTGGTTCCACCAAGCCTTAGCCCAACATGCCACAAGCTGGAGATCCACTCCCTATCAGAAGCCACGATCAGAATTCGGCTTTCTTTGCCATTTTTGTTTCGAGTTTATCTCCAGGCTCAGGGCTTGTGGCAGTCTTCCTGATGTTGGCACATTTTTCTTTGTTGAATGTCCTTTCGTCTTCACGCACTTGTGTGCCTTTGTTTGGCACACGGCTACCTTCCTTTGTCCCAAGCTCTTTTCTCCGGCCATTCTTTTCCCCAAGGCCAAGTCCAGTTAGCTTTTCCATTTTCCAGTAACGTCAGCATTCTCTATCAAGGCACTGTTATAAGCTCAGGGAGCTATTAAGAGGTCCCTCCCAAAAATTATGCATTGAATATAATTAATAAAAACTTCTGGTGGGCTCCTAGTACCTCCCCTCCTTACCAAAAAGTATTTTATTTAACAAATTATGCACCATTATTTTCAACAAAGTGAGTGCATTTTGTTCAGAACAGTTCCTACTTTGTTTTCTATTGTCAAGAGAAAAAGTGTCTGTCCAGATCAACAACTAACAATCCTCGGAATGCAACCCACAACTGCTGCCTAATTAATTCCAAGATTATCAGAAATCAGGTTTAAGGAACTGGGTCCAATTAGGTACTGTTTGTATAATTTAAATACCATCAATTAAAGCAATTTGATGAACAATTTTGTTTTCCTCTCTTGGGTTGATGCTTCTACATCAGGCATTATTATTATGCACACAGAAAATTGGTATTCAAAACAATGTAATTAGTTATTTTATCGTTAAAAACCATGTCTTGAGCATAATAAAAGTATCCTAAAACACACAGAAATCACAATAGCGTGATGCATCAAATGAACAAATCCACAGGGCCGTGACGAGGTTTAGAACCTACCTCCGAGAGGATCCTAGACGCTGCTTTAATCGACTGAGCTACGGCATAGTATAAGAATTGCAACCGGGAAATCATCCTGATTTACCGACGGTTTCTGCAGTCTCTTCGAGACAAATCAGGGTTTTATGCAATTCCTCCATGCACCCGAGCCTATTGACATAGCTCGGGTGCATGGGGGAATTGCGTAAAACCCTGGTTTGTGTCTCGGAGAGACTGCAGGAACCTTTGGTAAATCAGGATGATTTCCCGGTTGCAATTCTTATACCATGTTGTAGCTCAATCGGTTAAGGCAGCGTCTGGGATCCTCTCAGAGGTAGGTTCGAACCCTCATCACGGCCACAGTGGATTTGTTCAGTATCCTAAAAATTATGTCACTTTTAGGGTGATATTTACTGGAGGCCTCAAATACCAATGGAAACCATGTACCAGCACGAGTTTCAAATGTTGCAAAATACTCAAAATATCTTGTGATGTTATGCACATCACAGGTCAAGTCTTTCTAGATGATATGCCCATTTTAAGGGTTAATAATGATTACACTTCGTTCATTTCTCTTTCTCTTCAACCTGCACCCATCTGGAAATCAAAATCTACTTTTAACCGCCTAGGTCTCCCTCCTATATCTAGCTACATCGGACCCAGTTTTTGGGAATGCTCGTTATAAACCACCTCAAGCCATAGCCAAAGTTTATTCAGTTCATACTGTGTGAGTTTTGCAATTGTTGGGACACAAGGTTGGCAGTATTAATCTGACCAACACAATCGACTTGAGAATGGTCCAGGACGGACCGAAACGTCGTCGTCTCTTCAATTTCTAGTGTGTAGTCTGGTCATCATTAATCTGACCATTTGTATTTATACATAAATTCCCCACATCACTGAACAATCGGATAAACATGGTTCACTTTATAGTTTCTCCATAGTCTGGGACAGGAAGGCCATTAAAATCAAGATTCCCCCTTGGCCACCTACTGACCTTCCCCAGGACGCAACCCATAACAGCTGCCTAATTCCCGGAAATCTATTTACTGTTAGGTAAACAGACATCAGATAAAAGGAAATATGCTAAACAGACTGTCTTGCTCACAAATTAGACTCTGGATACACTGTTGTGAGCAGTGTGTGTAATCACTGTGCTACATAACTCATTTTACCCAATTCTCTTGGTCCTAAAGTGTTCAGAAATATGTACAGTACTGTATTGTATTGTCAGAATAATTGGTCATTCCTTCGCAAATACACACACAAAAAAAGTAAGTGACAAATTGTAGGGTACTCACCATGGTGACAAAAGATGCTCTGCTTAAGAGATTTTTAAAATATTTTACTGGCATTTTAGAAGATTTAATGCATTTTTGCAGAGGATTTTGGCAGATTAGAGGTTTCTACTGATATTTGCTCATCTTGCACGATCTCCTGAAGTAAGTAAGTAATTATCAAAAGAAGGTGCCAAGTCCAGAAGACTATATAGAACCATCCATGTCACAATATTTGTAAGTTCCTAGATATCATTTAGGATGCAAATACGAAAGCAAAAACACACAAGCCGAGTGATGTCAATGGAATCGGATTCACCAAAGATTTTATTTGGATATAAGACTAAGGTACAGCTGGAAAGTAATATTTCCAATCATCCCGACTTTTAAAACATTCTACACGAAGGCCTGTGATGGTTAGCAGAAGAATGCAGTTTTGACGGTAAGGTGTATGTCTGTTCCATCAAGTCCCTACAAATAAATTGTGGTTTGGGAGACGATGGGGGGTTATCTTGAGATGATTTCGGGGCTTTTTAGTGTCCCCGCGGCCTGGTCCTTGACCAGCCCTCCACCCCCAGGAAGCAGCCCGTGACAGCTGACTAACACCCAGGTACCTATTTTACTGCTAGGTAACAGGGGCATAGGGTGAAAGAAACTCTGCCCATTGTTTCTTGCCGGCGCCTGGGATCGAACCCAGGACCACAAGTCCAGCGTGCTGTCCGCTCGGCCGACCAGCTCCCAAATATTTGGGGGGGGTGCCAAATATGTAACCTACCCAAAGACGTTCACCACTATTTCGATGTAAGTGAAAACTTTGGGGTTAGGTCACATTTTAAAGAACAGAGTACAGTAATTTGATAATCATAAGAGAAATTCAAGTAAGGGAAATTCACGTCTGGGAAAATGCAACAGGTACGAACAGCCTCTTTTGTGGCAGTGTCCACGAGATTATTAGAGGGACTGAGAACTCGGCAAAATTCTATTCATATCTGATAAAGATTGAAATACAATATTGTACAGTATTTATAATCACCATAGAAAGTGAAAGTTCAAAAGAATCCACGCCCATTACACCATACAAGTTAACCACAGTAACAAACATTGGCACATGAAAAGCAGCTATCTGAGAGCAGATAAAATTGCTTAAAACTGTTTGGGAAGGCAGCACAAAGGTTTGATCAGGAAATACAGCTGAGAACCCAATGTTATCAGACTTTGATCCCTCCATAAATAGAGCAGTAGCGAACGAATGTGGAAAAGTAGTTACAAAACAGTAGGGAGGTACAAGCCATCACCATACTGGTTAGAATTTTACAAAATTTAGCAAGTGGAATACCTTCACAGAGGTAAGTTACTAAAAAACAGATATGAGTATAGAAACCTGCAAATGGGTAAACCATGCATTAAAAGACTAAAAGAGATTGAACAGAACTTTCAATGAGGAAGGTGAAGGAGTGGTACAAGCATGAATGATAAAAGGCTTTATATAGCTTGCACAGTACCAAAGGCAGTATCAGTTGTGCGTCTTTCAATGATGGAACACTAGTTTATACAAACAAGCTCTGGGCTGGGGAAGAACAAAAGGTCCCTTGGGCAGAAGTAAGTAATTATCAAAAGAAGGCACCAAACCGGGAAGGCTATGTAGCACCATCAAATGTGTGGAATAATCAGAGGACGCTAAATGGAGCTGAATAAGGGAAAAACTTACTCAGTATTACATCAGAATGTGAGGTCATCAACAAAGCATCGAATATATTCCAGTCGAGAGAGGAGGGGGTGGGGGGGGGGGGGTTAAAGATAGCTAGATAAAAAGTGTAGTGCTCAAAAAACTACGATGGGAAATGCAGTCATATTGGAAATAAGGGGCAGAGACGGCAGTTTTATGGTATTCCTAAAAAGTATGACTAGAGGGAAAGCTGTACAGGAGAGCAGCAAACCGCCTCAAAATTCAAAAGAATGCAACCGAGCCAAGATATTATTATTTTCCCAGGAAATGCCATACACTAACTCAATAACGACTGATACAACCAAATTACCCACAGAAAAGGGGGTTATGCGTGTCAGCCTCCAAAGCCACCAGAATGTCATCAAGGCTGTGATACAGTACTTGTGGACATCAAATTGGGAGGGAAAAAATGCGACAAATAGGTTCATAAAATCACTTATGGTACATGTTAATCTTAAGTTCAAAATGCTTGTATGCTCAGCTGGTCAAGGTGATGTAGTAGATCCCCAGACTTGG